AAACCAACCCTAGAAAGCAATCACACGCGCGGTCCTTGCAAAGCCTCCCGTGCCAGAGTTGGCGATGAAGCTGAGCCCTGAGTTGGATGGGTGACCCTGAACTCCCCAGTCACCCCTGGCAGAGGTCCCTCCAGTTCAGGGTTGGGTGGAGGAAGCTTGCTGTGTCTCTTGCGGTACACCTGCTCTCTAGATAAAGGCCTCCACTCTCTGGGGCTGTCACTTCAGGACCATTCACTGGAGCTAGCTTAATTATGTAAAAATAAATGATTTCTTTTTCCCTTTGGAACATCAATTAGTTTTACATTAGACAGTGGAGCTGCATATGGCAGCTGGTTCCCATTAATTAAAAATGCTTATTTTTAAGCAGAAAATTATGAGGTGAAACGGGCCAGATTTTGTATCCTGCCATATCAGCGCTGACTCGAGTTTTCTAGGTGCTCAGGTTGCTCTGTGTGTGTGTGAGAGAGAGAGAGCGCGCGCTAGCTGGCTCTCTGGGATTGCCCTGGCTGTTTTTTCTTTTACTGTTGGGTTTGGTTCTGTTTCCCAGTTGATTCAGGGCTGCTTGAGACTTTCTGTCGCAAGGCAAATGGCATCTGGTACTGGAGACAGATGTAATTAGAAAGGTCTTGGTGTAATTGCTGGTCCAGTGCACCACCTGAGTGACCATACATCAGAATTCTGAATCCTCAGACGGCAGCGCTTCGCCCATCTCTAGGACTTTCCATTTGCGGGTCTCAAAGTTCCTTACAAACAAGACAGACTTTGGCTTCCTAAGATGTCCCACATAGAGGAGAATTATCCCTATTCTGCAGATGGGTAAGCAAATAAATGAGAGGCGAAGTGACTTCTTTAAAGCTGGCCTGCGAAGGGGTTGACATTTTGGGTAGACGGGACCTGGATTTCTAATGTGTTGGGAATCCAGTGGTGAGGCTGTTAGCTAGGGAGACCTGCTCCCATTCCAAGGCGGGGTAGATCAAAGCACATTACAGAGCTCTTAGTGCCCGGCAGCAGGGTCTGTGTGAACACTTAATGCATGGCAGGCTAGATATACAGCCCAGCTTGCTGCGAGCTAACAGACTAGCCCCAAGTCTCTCTCTGCCTCAGTTACTCCTCTGATGATAGCACTGTCCTACCTCAAGGGGGGTGTTGTGAGGATAAATGCAGAAGATTGAGATGGGGTCAACATAGGTATTATGGATGGGATATAAAAATGAGCCATCAGGCTGCCTTTGTACCTCATAAATAAGCATAAAAAGGGCACAAGGCCTTTATTTAGATCAGTGGTTCTCAACTGGGGGTACACGTACCCCTGGGGGTACACAGAGGTCTTCTGGGGGGTTCATCAACGCATCTAGATATTTGCCTGGCTTTACTACGGGCTACATAAAAAGCATTAGTGAAGACAGTACACACTAAAATTTCATACAGACAATGACTTGTTTGTTCAGCTCTATATACTATCCACTGAAATGTCAGTACAATATTTATATTCCAATCTGTTATAATTACGTGGTAAAAACGAGAGAGTCGGCCATTTGTCAGTAACAGTGTGTCTGTGACACTTCTGTATTATGTCTTATTTTGTAAGCAAGTCGTCTTTAAGTGAGGTGAAAGTTGGGGTATGCTAGACAAACCCGACTCCTGAAGGGGTCCAGTCTGGAAAGGTTGAGAACCCCTGATTTAGACCACCTGGAAGATCCCATGGTAAGAAGCAGGAGTAGAATTTAAACCTAGGAGATGGTGTCTGTGTGTTGCAGTAGCATCTAGAGGCTCAACAGAGCTGGACGTTACGGACCTGTGAAGAGCAAAGGGGCTGTCCCAGCCCCATAGTAACCCAAAAACCATCCGTCCTCTCCTGGGTTAGGTGACGTCTCTCTCCCCTGTGGGTGGCAGGGGAGAATGATCATTGCTGCCCGTGACTTGTGTGCTGTTTGTTCAGTGTATCAGACAAAACAAGTTATTGGCTCCTCCCTTGTCCTATACGGTGTCTGTGCTCATTTGCCTCCCAGAGACTTCCGACTTGTTTAGAACCACTCCTGAATCAAAACTGGTTTGGCGTGGTCTCTCGGGACAGCTGGTACTGGGCAGCTTGGAGGAAACAGGAAGGGAAATTGTCTTAAGCTGTGATGAGCCTTAGGTGGAGAACTGGTTAAACAAACCAACCAACCCATGAGGAAGGAATGAGCTGTGACATGTCAGCAAAGCAGAACAATTGAGGTGGAGATTCAGTGTGTCACTGTACAACGAGGTGACCTTTAAACGTCTGCACAGCTGTTCTTATTAGTGCCAGAAGCGTGCGTGCGTGTGTGTGTGTGTGGTACTTAACAGAAATAGACATGTTCCCTCCCCGGAAAGAGTGAGCCTGTAAAAACGTAGCCACGTTGAGGACACGTGAGGGGGGTTTCCAGGATCTGCCTCCAAATTAAGCTGAGATAGGAAGGAAGTGAGAGAGTTTGAGGGGAAACTAACGAAGATGATGCAAAACATGCTTGGCATAAAGCTTTGGAAAACCAGATTTTTAAACTGGACACCCAGGACAAGAAAGAAGCAGGTGGCTGTAGAGATGAGGTCATCTGGGGAAAGGCCATCGGAAAGTGAGGGGGTTTGAAGATGGAAAGACACATGGACAGGAATATTGTTCTGACCAGGAATGGCACATGAGCGAACCCAAAGGTGGAAGAGGTAGCCAGGTTAGGATCAAGGTGAGAGATTTCACACTGTTCCTTCAGTATGAGCTGGTACGGGGTACACGTGAGTGGCCAGGAGCCCTGAAAAGCTCCATGTTGCCAGTGTGCACTGCTCTGTCTCGTAAATGTCTCCTTCTGAGCTTTGGCAGGACAGACATAGCACAGAAGGGTTGGATTTCTCCTGGGCATTTCCCATTCATTATCATCATCATCATCATCTGTCTTGTGAATGCAGCAGGCATCTCTGTCAGAACAGAACCCTTCAGGCTGCTGAGATGTGTCTCGTTCATGAAGCAGGAGCATGCTCGGGCCATGCTGGCCCATCTGTCATGAACATACATGCCATCTGCACAGCATGGCTGCGTTGGCTCAGTGGGTGCGACTCTTCTCCATTTCTTCTAGCTGGCTGACCGAGTGCTATGGATGGGGATGAAGTCCTGGCTGTTTGTTTCTGGTGTCCACGTGAGCACTGAGACATTGAACTTTTTGGGTAAGGGTGTGGGGGAGGGCGTATAGGGGAGGGAGATGAGACTGTCTCTAAGGCCATGAGCCATGTGGGTGAATTTTAGCTGGTTTGTCCCACTTATTCTGACTTATTACACGGGGTGGAGCAGTGGTAAGCTGGAGCCAGTTCGCGCGAACCGGTTGTTAAATTTTGAAGCCGGTTTAGAACCAGTTGTTAAAGAGGTGGGCAAACTCCGGCCTGTCGGGCCCGCCTGAGCTTTCAGCTGTGGAGAGAATCCCTTTTTAATTTTTACTCACCCGGCGGCGCTCCGGGTCTTCGGCAGCACTTTGGTGGCGGGTCGGTCAGAGCCGCCGAAGGTCCGGAGCAACAGAAGGAACTGGTTCTTCAGCTTTTGCCAGCTCATCATTGGGGTGGAGCCCAATTAGATATTTCCTCCAAGCCTCGGAAGGAGCATGAGGACCAATCCCATAATTGTCTCTAACACTTGTGCAAACCAGATTTATAGATCTGTCTAGCAGGGGGAGCTCTGTGCATGGAAACTTACTCCTCTCCCCTGTCAAGGGTTGTTTTGTTTGCTCTCTTGTGCTCGGCTCTGTACAAACACAACACAGCCAGTTCTTGCCCCAAAGAGCTTACAATCTAAGGAAACTTTTATGCCTTATGCTTTCAAAAGTGACTGATTTTTGACTGCTCAAGTTGGGGGACTCCTTTAAAGGAGCCTGTTTTTTGTCAGAAGCACTTAGTCCCTGCCCCCTCAAATTTGGACAGTGTCTCAAGGTGGGCACGCAAAATAGCTAAATAACTTCTGGAAATGTATTTCTATGCATCCGTTCTGGTAGACGTGGCAGTGGGGAAGTTCCGTAGCTAGATTGTTGCAAACACAGCAGCAAAATTGGAGACTGACTAACACTCCACCACTCGGTCTTTTTAAATGAATGCGGGACTAGCTCCAGGCATTGGTAGTGAGCGAGAGCCTGTTGCTTCTGAGTTACCAATTCAAATCCAGCCCATGACTGTAGTGACTAAAAGTTGTTTCCTATCTGAGAACACTTGGATCTGTGTGCAGTGAGTTGGTGAGTCTCAGCCCAGTTCGTAGTGGACATGCAGCTCCATCTCAGACCTCCCCCAGAGCTGGTGCAAATTGACCACCTCTTGTTGGCCATCTCCGCAAAGAGGCCAAGAATTGACTGAGCCACCCTTATACCTCACAAGAGTATGGTGGGGCACTGACCTAAATCAGTTCTCTACCTGATTGGTGGCTAAGTTATAAGAACTTAGGACTGTCAATCAAACTCCTTTCCCAAGCACTAAAAATCAGTTTAGGCTATATTAACTTCCCCCCCCCCCCCCCTTTCTAGTCTGTCCATACATAATAGGGGCAGTGGGAGTCAGGAGATCTGGGTTGTTGTCCCAGGTCTGCCACTGACCTCTGTGTAAACTTGGGCACGTCAGTTCAGGTCTCTGGGTGCCTCAGTGTGCCTCTCTGGGGATAGTATTTAATAGCCTCTTGAGGCTTGATACTCAAATGCTTTGTGATGGTTCTGGCGGAGGATGTGAGAGAGGTGCAAATCACCATCTCTGGTCTGTTGTAGAAGAGCATCCCTGTCTGGAAAGGGAGTTGGTGAAAAGGTATCGAGGTGCTATGCGGTGACATAATTCTAAATCCTGTCTGATTGTATTTAGCTTGCCATGTGGTCCCTGATGGGTGATCTGAGTGTTCTACCATACGGTCACCTTCTGTTATATGAAGGAGCTTGATTTTTGTAGCCTCCCGTGATTCTTAGGCAGTTCCATGGTGGTAAGTGCTCCCCTTCCTCCTTGACATTTATTTTTCATTCCCGTCTCAGGTCTTTTAGCCAACCTCACCATGTTCAGCAAGAAAAAGAAACGCGTTGAGATCTCTGCTCCCTCAAACTTTGAGCACCGGGTCCACACTGGGTATGACCAACAAGAGCAGAAGTTCACTGGTCTGCCAAGGCAATGGCAGGGCATCATCGAGGAGTCGGCAAAGAGACCCAAGCCACTGGTGGATCCCGTGTTCATCACGGCTATTCAACATGGCTCACAAAAGGTAGGTGGCCTGGTGAACCTTCATGCGGGGTCTGGTTTCTGCAAGAGCAAAGGGAGTTCTAGTGAATGAGGCCAGGTTGAGAGACACTATAGTCCCTCCTTTCCCTAACAGATCAATGGTCTGTCAAGGGGCATCTATATCTAGGGGTTCATACTTGTAGCACAGAAATAACACCTCTACAGGACCCAGGCACCTGCACTCGTAGCTTCAAGAAGTGCCATGTTGGCAGCCCTGAAGGAGAAGAAAAGCTTGGCCAGGGGCAATTTGTTCTCCTCTTTTACATTTTTGGGGTGCCAGTTTGGCCAAGTAACATGGCAACTTGTTCTCCACAGCCCATTCAGTGTTTCTCCACCTCTCTCCTCAGGCTGCCAGCGAGGGTGCAGGTTTCAACAGCATCTTTATGTGCATGATGCCCTGTCTTCTTACTAGGAACAGAACAAACTCCCACCAAATTGCCTCTTGCTAGTTACCGAGAGCCATCGGTGGTCCCCAACGTGGGTGGATTTAAGCTATTAGGGCCAAAGGCTCTGTATTCCCTTCCCTGGGCCCCCTGGTCCTCCTGGTTCAATGGCGAGTTTAAAAATGTGTGAAGGGAAACACAAGTATTAAACGGCATTTACCCCTCTTGCATCCCACTCATTTCCCCTTTCCCAGTGTTTGTCTTTTCCATCATTCCTGTCCTTTAAACTTTGACTGTGGCTTGTCCATTTGCTTGAGTCAGGAAGACCCAGGATCTGGAAATCGCTGCTGCTTCCACGCTAACCCTAATTAATTCTTTCTAAACCTCTCCAGGTGAATGTGTCTACATGGAGCATTAGCCCTGAGCGGGGCGAACTTGCCTGCTAGGGCAGGGGCACAAAGGCTCTAGTATTTGGGTCCGCTAGTCTTTTGCTGCGTGTTTTCGTGCACTGTCTCCCCTGGGCACATGAATGCTCATAAAAAAGGAAACCTATTGAACTGGGTAAGGCACGGGAAGCAAGCCATTTAAAGGCCAGCCTGGAAACCGGAAATAGCTACATCTAAGACTCCGAGGTGTGTGTGTGTGTGGGAGGGATGGCGAAAGCTTGGTAACCTTGAATCCGTCAATTTCCGGGAGTATACAGAAGTCTTGCAATGACTGAGCTTGCATCTCAAACCTATGAGTGGGGAATTAGAAGTTCCCAAAGGTACACTGGAGAAGACTGATCGAGAGCCTTAAATGTCACCGAAGAGGATTTCCTGTGGCGTATGGAACTGAATGTGCTACCAGTTCAATCACTAATGATGGGATGGGTAGTTGGGGGTGAGTGGGAATGCCGGGGGATAGGGGCCATTGTTGGCTAGTAGCCGTAGAGCAGGACTGGGCGTTGGGGAGCGAAGTCGAGTCCCAGCTCTGCTACTGACTTGCCACGTGACCTTGAACTAATCACTTAAAGATCTGTCCCTCAATTACAGGGAGGAGGTTTTAAAAAAAACAGAACGGGGGAGGTAGGCAGACTCACCTTTTTAAAGCACTTTAGATATGTAGGTTAAAAAGTGCCGAGTTCCGGCAATGAGGGAGGTTGCCGGTAAAGACAAGCCTGTCATTTCATGCTCTTCTTGGCTATGTTTAAACAGCCCTCTGCATATATTCATTACAGATGGCCAGACTGGTTTTTATGCCATGTTTTGCGCCTTCCCTTCAGCAGCAAGTTGCAGAGAGTGTGATGTCTGAGGGGAGCGGGAGTCGAAGCAAGGACTAGGGAGTTCAACAGATGTCAATGTCCCGCCTCAACGGAATCCAACTCCAGCTAGGAGGACAGAGAGTCTTGTGGTGAGAGCACTAGCTGGGCTGAGAGAGACCTGGGTTCAATTTCTGCTCCTCCACAGCTGTCCTGTGAGATCTCTCTGTGCCTTGGTTTCACACCTGTAAAAGGGGGATCTTTGCAGATTCCTTCCTAGCAGGGTGTTGAGGATAAACGTTAGAGATTGTGAGGGGCTCAGATATGGGGGCCAGGTAAGCACTGTAGACCGAAGTTCTCACTACTTCCAAAAAGTCCTTACTCAGAAGACCGCATGCTGGACACTTGCAGGAGCTACCTTGCGTTGCTTTGAGATGACATGGTAGCTCAAAGTCCAGCGCCACTTGGGACCCAGCCCTCAGGTTTTCTCTGAAGCAGTTTGTGTGCTGATTTGCGATCTTCCCAGGAGCAGTCCTCATTTGGACGGTGCTTGGAAGTAGAACTGTTTTTTAAAACTGGAGGCAACTGCTGGGATCAGTCGTTAAATCAATGGGAATAGAAAGTGCTTGGCACCTTGCAGATTAGGCCTAGATGAATGAAGGTGTGTTAATGGTATTAAATGTGACGCTTCTGGGAGGTACCCAGCATTGGGAGGCACCTTGCTACCACCTGCCCTGAGCGTGAGAGAGCTTGCAGCACTTAGGTTATAGCGACAACACATAAAAGTTTATTTAAGAGAGTCTAGAGATTCAAATGATCTCAAGTAGAAGGATAGGAAACAAATGTTTTCCGATAAACTAAAACCGTAACATGCATTCTAGAGCCTAGACGTACTTAACAAGGTACTCTCCTGTCTAATGAAGTATTGCTCACGAGTGTTTTCCAGGCAGGCTGTGATCCCTTTTCCATGACACAAGCTATGCTGTCAGCTTGTCTCTTCGGGGAAGGATTCTGTGGGTCTCTTTGCAATCCCAGATATATCAAACCAGTCCTTTGATCTTCCTTCATAAACCAGACACTGTCCTGCTGTGTTCCTTCCTCTAGATTCTGCTGTCTCTTGTGGATTTAGCAATTTAGATTAGCTGGTGGCTTAATATGAAAATAGACTTACATTGTGAGAGAGACAAAGACTAGCCAGAGAGAGAGAATTGTCTACTCTCCCCTGCCTGAACCCTCCCCTACCTAGTGACCAGTCTTTAACACCAAGGCTCCAAGAACATAGCTTGCAGTAAATTACTACTTTTGGAATATTATTTGTATACACCCTTGGCAATGGCTATGACAACTGGCTCTTGGCAGAGACCTCGCATGCCACCCTTGGGTGAGTTGCTGTCCATATACTTGACCCAGGGGATGCCTGTAAAACTCTCTGTGCTTGTTAGCACATAAAGAGGTACAGACTCCATTTCCAGTGATACCTTTCTCTTTCGGAAGCCAGTGCTGTTCTTCCAGAAGGGGGGAGGTTACAGCCACTCGTCCAACCTGTGTCCCTTCTGCCCCCATCCCGACCTGCCTGAGCGCTCCGGCATTTTGATCTTTTGGACACCAGCATCCTTCTGTGGTAAACAATTCAGTGTAGTAGCAGCAGAAGTTTTGAAGCTAAAAAGAACGAGATGAGTCCATGGGGGATAGGTCCATCAGCGGCTATTAGCCAGGCTGGGCAGGGATGGTGTCCCTCGCCTCTGTTTGCCAGAAGCTGGGAATGGGCGACGGGATGGATCGCTTGGTGATTCCCTCTTCTGTTTATGCCCTCTGGGGCACCTGGCACTGGCCACTGTCGGAAGACAGGAGACTGGGCTAGATGGACCTTTGGTCTGACCCAGTCTGGCCGTTCTTATGTTCTTAAGCTTGCATTCCTGCAGGGCCGGCCAGCCTTGCTCCCTCGGCTCGTCCACTTTAAACCACGAAGCAGCCGTTAATAATGCTGTGGTGGAACTGCTCCGAACGCTCTTGAAGTCTTGTGCTCGAGCGGCTTTACGAACAGCCCTTGGCCTCGCAGCGCTGGCTCCGTCTGAAGGGCTGAAAACGGACGCTTGTTCTCGCCTTGCTCGTAGGACTCTGTGCCTGCGTGAGGCAGAGTCGCAATGAGCCCTCTTCCATCCTATCAATCCGCAAAGTGCTTCGGCTGAGCCACAGACCACGCGCAGGAATTGCAGCGCCCGCATTCAGCAGTGGCCGTCCCGCGGCCCCCGAGCGGAATCCTGCTGCTGCTTTGAGTTACCGTAGCACCTACGGGCCCCGGTCACAGAGCTCCTCGGCACTGTGCAAACGGAGCCAAAGGACCGTGCCTACCCCGAGGAGCTTACAGTCTAAGGCCAGAGACAGACAGGGGAGCACAAGGAAACAATGAGAGAGTCTTGGTCAGGATGACTGGCTGTGGTCTCAGTGCTGGGACCGCTGGGGTGATGGATTTGCATCGCTGTCGCTGCTTGCCAGTAGCTTTCAGGGCCCGCCTCTCCCGCTAACCTCCCCATGAGGGCAGGTTGTGCAGCGCATGGCGGGGTCAGGCCTGTGGAGACAGCCTGTGAAGCAAGGTCTCGTGTAATCCCTTGCCAAGGTGTCACGGGGCGAGGCCTAAGGTAGGGCTGGCGACTCTCCCTGCTGGGGAGGATCCGTACGGAATCCGTGCCGGCAAACCAGAACCCGAAGGGGAAGCGGGATCTCTTTCCACGGACGCTCAACCGGATGCTTGCAGCACTGGCTCAGCCAGCACGGGGAACTGCGGAGCCGGGGGTGTGACCGAGAGGAGGGAGGGAGGGGAGTCACACTCCCTAGGGGAATCAATTGCAGCAAGGGGTGGAGGGAGAATTGCTTGGACTGGGGAATTACTTGATCCCCTTCCACACCGAGCAGTACTAATTTGGTTCTGGCTGTGTGCCACCGTCTTCCACCTGCTCTGATCTGCTGAGCTCAGCAGCAGGGGAATCCTGAGCGGGATTGGTGTTTGCCCTGCGTGAGTTGCTGTGGCAACAGGGGAAGAAAAAGCAGGGATTATAAGACACAAACAGGTTGAGCTGAGCTAATTTTGTGGTGGAAGCAAAGATATTCCCCTCCGCCCCTTCATTTAACATGACTGGGTGGAAAAAGGGAGTTGCGGGAGCCTGCCTTTCACTGAAATCCCTTCTCCGCTTAACAGGGGGCCCTCTTCCCCCCTCCTCCCATGGGTTAGCAGGGATCCCACCCCCTCAATAGCACTGGAACATGATCTCTTTGTCCCCGGTTCAGCGGCTCTGACCTGGAAGGTTGTCTGTGATTCCTGCCCTGCTAGCCCGCCGCTTAAATCAAGGAAAGTGGCCCGCT